TTTTGGAAAATCCAATTTTTACATGTTTCACCCTGGAATCAACGCAATTTATACAAAGGTACAGAGGAATAAAGAATCGCGCAGGAGAGAGAAGCTTATTACTCCCCAACCCAAATCTGCACACCCTCATCCCTCTGTCTCAACCGTATTCATAAATTTCACAACATTCTCGGCCTCTCTCTCTGTTCATGATTTCTGGGCATCTTTTCAATCGTCTCACTGGAACGACGATTTCTTCAACACGATCCTGGAGAAGAATGTTCTTCTTCCCTGTCTTCGAGGTAATTACCAAAGGGAATTGCAAATTCAGATTATCTTATTCTCTAATCCGTTTTACGGGTGTGTTGTGGTTCTGAATCCTGTTTAAACTTTTTCCCCAAATTTCTATTTAATTTGTTCAATCCTTGTAATACATGATGTTTTTGGTGGCTGGATTGCTCGCCTCATCATTTGACAATGATTTCTTGAGTGTGATCGGAAACTCGGAATGATTTCCTCCCAGTTAACCATGGATAATTGATTAACAAATCTTAGAAAGAGAAAAAGGGTGGCCCTTTAGCATTGGAGGCAGTTTTAATATTACAAAGCTTATAATTTTGGTTGACTTTTCAAGTAAAATGTATATCTGCTTCTATAAACAATTCCTCCACTGATTGGTTGTGTTTTTGTGTTACGTCCTTTCTTCTTACTGTGTATGACTCTTACTCGCCTGCTAAATATAAAAAAAATACAAATTACAACTTGGACTGCTCTTTCTATCCGTCTAACTATCCAGTATAGATCACGAGTCCTAGAGCCCGTTTGGTAACACTGAAATGGATGGTTCAGCCAGATATTTATGAAGTTCTGGGTGAAGTGACTGAACTGACTAATGTTGTTTATTTGTGAAAAAATTATAATTAAAATACGAAGTATGTAGTATATTAATATAATGGAGAAAAAATTATATGAAAAAATAGCTAAAATCCTATAGAGTAACTTTTGTCAATTCAACTAGAAAAGTAACTCCAACCCTATTTATTTTGATTATTACACAATTCAAAAGTTAACGTTGGTTGATAAGCTAAAAAAACAGGTTCACCAAACGGGCTCTTAATATGGTATTAGAGTAAAAAAGCGCATATAGAGCTTAATCAGCTTATATTAAAGTTTGAGGTTCAAATCTAAAAGCTTAATGTCTTATAGTATGTGAGGTTCAACTTATATCAGTATGTGAGTTTATAGTTTTAAATCTGACTTGTATGGATGACTTAAAAATACTTTGTGTGAGTTTCAACTGATAAAAATTATTATATTTATATATGCAGTGGTAGAATTTGGAAGGGGTTGTGAGCTTGAATTGAATAGGAATTGAAATGGATGAAGAAATATTCTCGGGAATTGCAAATGGAACCCATATAGACAGCAAAGTTCTGCAGACATTTCAAAAGAGTTTTTTACAAGTTCAAAACATACTAGACCAAAACAGACTTTTAATCAATGAGATCAACCAAAACCACGAGTCTAAGATCCCGGATAACTTGACCCGAAACGTGGGTCTTATTAGAGAGCTCAACAACAATATTAGAAGGGTGGTTGATCTCTATGCCGATCTCTCTGATTCTTTGACCAAATCCAGGGAGGCTTCCTCCGAAGGCGAATCTGCTTCAACCGTGAAATCAGATGGAAGAGGTGGTGCAAAAAGAATAAGATCTAGCTGATTGATTGATTGATCACACTTGCTTGCTTGCTTGGGTTATTCCTACATTGTTCCCAAACAAAACTGAAAAAACTTCATTCACACTGTTCATCACATGTTGTGTAAAAAACTCAGTTTTTGTCGATGTTCTAAATACCTTGACGTTTTACCAGTCTCATTCATTTGTTGGAAAATAATAGCTCTTATAAATTACTGTGTTATTCTTGTGAGTTATTTTTCTTTAAATGCTAACTGAATTTCTTCTTCTGTGCTTTCCTGCCTTTCCCCTTCTAACTTCACGATCTTATAGTGGATCTTATCTATGCTTTTGAGGAAAATTTTCAACGGCTACACTTTCCCATGTTTGCTTAAAGTTATTCCCCATTGTGCGTACCACTTTTCCATGTTTGCTTCAAGTTATTCCTCGTAATGTATCCACCTGGACTAGTGATGGACTCAACCGGTTCCGGGCCCAGGTCGGGCCTAGGCCCGGCTGGGCCAAAAAAAGATTCTGTGACTCTGTGAGGCCCGGGACCGGCCCGGAAGTAGACCGGTGCCGGTCCGGGTCCGATTATACTTTTTTTTTCTTGATTATTTTTATCCCCTACCCCCACCCCCCATCCCACAAACCCATCTGAAAGACCCATTCCAGCCCATTTAAATTTTAAACCCAGCCCAAAGCCCCAAACCAACAAAAAACAAAAAACAAAATTGAAAGGCCCGAACCGGGCCCGGAACCGGCCGGGCCGGTTCTCATTTACCTAAGCCCATACCCGACCCGATTTCCCACCCCAAATCGGGCTTAGACCCGGGACTGTTACCCGGTTCCCAGGCCGGGCCCGCACAGTACCGGGCCGGGCCGGTTCCTAGGCCGGGTGACCCGAACCGGGTCCAAGCCTAACCTGGACTGGCCGGGTGACTGGTGAGATGCTTTGTAGAATTGTATGAACTCATTCTTTATCTCCTTTCCAAACATAATACATTCTTTCTAGACTAATGCTAAAGGTATCCCAAAATGGGGTACCCTATTCTTACCCCGGCCTAATGTGTGGCCACAAATAAGGCAATACATTTAAGTGATGACCCACTTAAATGTGTTGTCCCATTTGTGGCCACACATTAGGCCGGGGTAAGGAGGACGACAGTGAGGGAGGAGCGCCCTCATCGTGAGAGAGGCACGAGCACCTATTGGGACAGTCACCGCTATCGTTTATTATTGGAGTAGTTAGTACTTGGTACATAGTAGAGGTAGCTACTCTTCTATTTCACTTGGCTGAAACAGATGATGATGTCTAGTCTTGTTTTGTTGAATCTATGTTTTTTCATAATTTATCTGATTCAACCAAGTTAGCCACTTCAGCCTCACTTTTACCAATTTCATCAAATTTAGCCAATGCAATCAATGTCAGTGTTAGCAAATGGACCCCTAATACACGCACTTCAAATTAAAGTCGATATAAATACTCTATACGTTGATTAATATGTGCAATAGTTTTGTTATCAATTGTATATCACATATAGGGGTGCAAACGAGCCGAGCCGAGCCCGATTTTCTACAGGCTCGAGCTCGAGCTCGAAATATATAGCATCGGCTCGAGCTCGGGCTCGGCTCGAACGAGCTTACAAAATCGCGGCTCGAACTCGACTCGCAGAAGGCTCGGTTCGACTCGGCTCGGCTCGAGGCTCGATAACCATTATGATGCTCCATAATGAGTCCGTAGTAAAAATTCACTGTCATCGGCCCATTCTAAGTTTTTCTACTGAGTAGTAACGACCTAAGCCTAAAATATTATAAAATTTTACTAATCAGCATATATTATATACTCCCTCCGTCCCCTTTTAAATGTCCCGTTTTACCATATTGGGATGTCCCTATTTAATTGTCTCATACCTTATTTGGTAGAGTTTGTGTGGTTCAAAATTATTTTTACTTTATTCTTACTTTATCAATTAATATCAATCACACAAACCCACTTTTCTTAAAACTCGTGTCATACTCTTCTGAGACATTTAAAAGGGGACGGAGGGAGTATATCATATATATTACTCCGTACATTATAACAGTATACATTATATATTAATTTATATTGCATAGTAATATATTATATATGATTATATTATATATATATATATATATATTATAAATATTCACATATAAAATTAGGCTCGCGAGCCGGCTCGCGAGCCAGCGAGCCTGAAATTAGAAGGCTCGAGCTCGGGCTCGACTGCTTAACGAGCCGGCTCGAGCTCGAATTTGACCGATCCCGATTCGAGCTTTGACCGAGCGGCTCGCGAGCGGCTCACGAGCGGCTCGACTCATTTGCACCCCTAATCACATATAGTTTTGGTGAATATGTCACCCTTAAAATCATCCTTGAAGTTGGAGTTAATACGAAAAAACTTGAGAAGAAAATATAGCTCAACTGGTCGCCGACTCACTCTCTTACGAAAAGAAATCTCGAGTCTGAAACTCCACGGAAGGAATTTCAGCCCAATTTACCCCAGGCTCCCTAGCCCCCCTCCCCTCCCCTTGACCCTCTGGGATTGAAAAAAACCTAAAAGCTATTAAAAGTACCTCCAATGGCGCTTTACGCGTTTGAAATAAAAGTGTTTGAGAAGTCTATGTCACCATTTTTATTCTTTCTAATTGAAAAAAGTGAAAAACACTTCTAAAGCTAAAAATGGTGTTTATAAATGTTGACTTCTATTTAATTTTTAAAACTTTTAATCTAAAAGCTTAAAGCGCCATCGGAGGTGCTTTTAATAGTTTTTAGTTCTTTTTTTTTGTTATTAGCTCCAACTTCATGGACAATTATAAGGATAACATATTCACGAGTCGGGGTGGTTATTGCAGCGAGTCACTATATTTAATGTAATATAGTAGAATATGAATGATTTAAATGTAATAAATTTAATGTTTATCAGTCATTTTTTCAGAAATTAAAAAAACACTTTTTACCTACTATATATTTTAGTAATATTGACGTTAAAACCTAAAAAATAAAACCAAGCTCATTCCACAAATAAAGAGAAAACGTAGCTTTTACTTGCTCTGTGGTTTTAGGATGTTTTTACTTGAATTGTAATTTGCTGGTTTGGTTTGGTCTGATTTCTTTGTAGTTTTATAATTATCCAAGTCTGGTCTGAGACGAATTACAGTCCAAATAAAAACATCTTTACACTATTATCTTATTTTTATTTATTTTATGTATCCTAAATCATACAGACTTCCTAAATGATGGAAAAGAAAAGATTAAATTTAGACTTGCTTAGTCCTGTTCTTACACAAACCCTTAAACCTCTCGCGCTCAAATTATAATCGCTCGTAATCCCTCCTGGCCTCCTCCAATTACTGCGGTCTATCTCTCTGTTGCTTTTAAACTAGCTTCTTATTCTTCTCCAATTATTTTCATTAATCTATTTTGCAACATTCAATGGAGGGAGGAGAAGGGCAGAACGACCATATTTGTACTGTGAATGAAGTCTTTGATGATTACAAGGGGCGTAGGAGTGGCATAATATCCGCTCTTACAACTGGTAAACCTCTTTTTAGTTCCTTCGATTTTATTTATTTATTTATTTATTTGGTAACAATTTTGATTGTAGTTTATGTTTTTGTGTTTCAGACTATGAAGATTTTTATCGGATGTGCAATCCAGGCAAGAAATTGATTTTTTATTTTTATTTTTATTTCCAGTGCAAGCGTTAATTAATCCATTCGGAGTGTTTTTATTGTGTAATCCACTTGAAATCCGTAGGTTCCATTTAAGTTACAGGCATCCTCTGTAATGAGTTGGTCGTTCTGTCTCACAGACAGGGGAGTATTCAGTCAACAAAAGAAGCTATTTTTACGTAAATGGTTATGAAAATTCTAACAAATTACAAATCTATGGTTGCTATCTTGTTATAGACCGGAAGCATTCTAGTTATTGTTGATACCCTGAAGGTAGTAAATACCCAGTTTTTTTTTTTAACCCAGGAATTTCTGTATACTATATGATTAGATCATGTATTTTTTTATACTTTATAACTACACAGCCAATTAAATATAAAAATAATTTTAATCCCTTTCCTCACATCCTAAAATCCATGAACCAAATAAGCCCCAAAGCATCTCGTAATGATACATATTTCTTTTCTTGTACAGAGAAAGAGAACTTTTACTTGATTGGATATCCGGATGGGAAATGGCAGGTAAGTTTACCTTTTGAAGAAGTACCTTCAGAGATTCCGGAGCCTACTCTGGGTATCAACTTTGCAAGAGATGGGATGGTTGCAAGTGACTGGATAACATTAGTAGCTGCCCACAGTGAAGCGTGGCTGTTTTCTGTTGCTTTCTACTTTGCTGCTAGATTCGGATTTGATAAAGCTCAAAGGTGTGTGTATTTCAAACTCAATTTCTAAAATATTATTATATGCACATACAACGCTCCTCATACCTACATTGAGATCAATAATTACTGATAAATGATAATCTCTGTGAGTGTATCGCCCACAGTGAATTTTTCTTGTTTTTTGCTTAATCTCTTGGTTTGTTTTTTTCCTTAGTATCTAAACTAGTGAAATTTGTACATTTAGTGTTTCAATGTGAATTTGGATTTAATCAAAGAATGGATTTAGGAAGATGGCCTTGGAACCAATAAAATCCAGTGATGATTGTGTCCCTTTGGAAATGACTTAATTAAGGTTTACTGTCTTTAGCTTAGCTGTAGTATTCAAACATCTTGGAATCATTTTAATGTGCAGGAAGACACTCTTCAACATGATAAACGATCTTCCTACAGTGTATGAGATTGTGACTCTTGCGTCAAAGAAACAGCTAAAGGGGAAAAAACCGGTCTTAAATCATATTCACTCCAAGCCAAAGCAAAGTTTCAAATCTGTAAGCATTAATATTTTGCATTGTGTTGATAATTTGGTTGTAGTATATACATCTTTTTTATATCTTGTGTGCAGCGCTAATCCCAGAAAACGGCAAACCAAAACTTGAAACCAAACTGCCCTAAACCATAGGCAAGCCGGTTTGTGGTTTAAGGTAGGTTTTTTGAAAACCGACCCCTAAAATCAATTAAAGTAAATTAAAGAAACTAAATATGCTCAAACAATGCCGACGTAATGGGATAAAAAATCTGTATTTTAGAAACTGAACATACCTATACCGAATGACCAGGGCCGTCTAGAGCAATTGTGAGGCCCTAGAATGTCATATAGACATTCGTTTCTGTATACATATAGATTTTTACAGCCGGGAATGGATTTTATAATCAAGTCTTTTGTTAGTTTGTTCTTTTCTTTCTAAACCACGAATCATGTTTTCGTTTTCCCGCCATCACAAATGACAAAACTACAATTTCATTGAAAAAATATTACCTCCATCCTACTAACATTGAGACATAGGAAGGTGTGGTTCCAAAGAAAGTGAATTTGTGTTGTTGATATTTAATTGATAAAGTAAGAATAAAAAAAGAAAGATTTAAAACCACACAAATTTTATCAAATTTGTTATGAAACAATTTTAGTAGGGCAGACTGAAAAAAGAAAGATGAAACTATCTTAGCGGGATTGAGAGAGTAATAAATAAGTAAAAGCTTCATATATAAATAAAAATATACCGCTCATCATAAATAAGATATGAAGATTATAAACATTCAATATTTTAATCAAACTCACATTTCACAATTCATCTGAATAAACTTTTTGCACACATAAATGAGTAATTAAGTTGTTTTGAGGAAGTCAATAGATTTATAGATCAACACTTTATACTTATGATGCAGTTGTTTTAATACATTCATAAAGTACTTATAATAATCAAATTATTATTTTACACAACTGAATGAGTAATTGAGTTGTTAAGTAAATCAATAGATTTATGGATTGATACTTTATACAATTGGCAATTATACTTATACTTGTATTATAGTTATTGAGTTGTTTTTATTTTTTGGAAAAAGTTATTGAGTTATTATACTTTATTGTAATCTGTAATACAATTGCATACTTTGTATACTTAGACCCTATTCCCCAGCTGACTATCGATTGAAAAAAAGAACTAAACAACTAAACGATGCACAAAAGTGACCTACTAATGAAATGAACTAAATCAAATTGTTAGAGGTGTCTGTGGTTGGATTGTTGAAGGGGATGTGGGTGAAGCCTACTCGTGGCTTGTCAGAGGCCACTCGTGACTATCCACCATAGCTACTTGTCATACTCATCTGATTGTTTACATATGGGAATTGATATCAAATTGAAAATTGATATATTATTAATATGCTTATTTTTCAAAATTGGAGGCCCCTTAATTTTGGGGGCCCTATGGCCGGTCCTGCGAATGACAAACATCCTAGTTGCATGGGGGTGAGCTTTTGCAAGTATAGGTTAGGTAGTTGATTACTTGACTTGAGCTGATGCTATTATCTTACCTTTGGACTATTTTTGTGAAAAAACAGCAATCAACTGAAGAGCGTGAAGGTAGGACAATGGACGTGAAACTGCTTCACAACAATGAAAGAGAGGAGGAAGACGAGGAGCACGACAACGCATTGTGTGGTGCTTGCGGCCAATACGATGGACTGGACGAGTTCTGGATATGTTGTGACAAATGCGAAAGGTGGTTTCATGGACGGTGTGTAAAAATAACCCCGGCTAAAGCTGAGCAATTGAAGTTGTATAAGTGTTCATCTTGCAGCAACAAAAAGAGACCTCACCCTTCTTAACCTTGTTCATAATGCTATAAAATGCACAACACCCTTCTAACTGGTATAGGGATATCAACTTTAGGGAGAAGTTAATCTGCTGATCTAGAACATCTTTTGTCTTTAGAAATTAATTTTTTGAGTTAAATTCTATTTACCCCCATGTTTATATTTAGTTACGTGTATTAATCATTTTTTGTTCAGAAATTGATATGTTTTACCCCCAATTGTTCAAAAGTGGTCAATTGTTCTATTTAGAAGTATAAGACAATCTTTCCTATGAAGCATCACATATCCCATTATTTTCCATGATTTACCCCCAATAAATACAAAGTCCTTATTGCGTTTAATTTATTCTTGTAAATTAAGGGCTTATATGGCTTGGGGGAAGAGGAGAGGTAGATTGCATTCAATTTTATTAAAATATCTATATATGTTCGTTTACAGCAGAAATAATTATATGGTTATAAGATGATGCATTTATTTATATATTGTACATCTTTATATTATTTCAAACTATTCAAATGTGATAATAATTTGAAGACAAATATCAGTCGTTCATTGTCTTCACTCTTCTCCGAAATCCCTAGACTTCACAAATCTTGAAATAGTATTTGTTTAAATTTAAATTTATTTAATGGGTATAGTAACTACAGTACGTTATATAAAATGATCCCACTGCCATTACCCTTCAATAATTACATCTATTAAAATAGCGAGAACAAAATGAGTGTTTTGAATTAAATTTATGGGTGTAGTTATTTTGAACCAAATGCAAATTGTTCTAAAAGTAGCCTGTTTTGAACCAAGAGTCTGAGACCATGAATATATACAAAAGCACAATATCAAATGAAATTCGTTGCTAGAATTAGGGGATTTTTTTGGTACAGTTTGATTAAACATGATCTGACTTAATTAAGTTTGATATGATCAAGTGTGATATATTTTACTCGTCTAGTTTGTTTAATTTGATTATTAGGCCAACTTAAAGATGGTTAAAGCTATTAAGTTTGATCTAATCTAATTTGAAATTGAATCAAGCGAAAACATACGAACTCAATTGTTTGGAGTATAAATTAAGTAGATAACAAGCCCTAGAAATATGATCTCATTATGGAGAAAGTACTCCGTTAATTTAGAATAAAGATTAAAAACTATTTTTATCTTGAACAAAAAGTCCTATACTACAATAAACACACCCCTAGAAGTAGGACCTTGTTAATCCTTGAAATGCAGATTATATAACATTAATTTACTCCTATTTAGGATCAAATGAACCATGTTTTTAATAGAAGGTAAGAATGTTTCGCTTTTGTTTGAGCGATAACCCCACTGCCGCGGTCATGCGGGACAGAAAATTCCATAAACTTCATCTTTTCCTTTTCTTCTCTTGCGCGCAAATTATATCGTGGGATCGGCCCACCATGCGCAAGGTGTACCGATCTCAAAACCAGTTTCATGCGTATTAAAAGTTGCCAACTCCATCTCATCTGCCCCTTTATCTCCTTCTCAAGTTGCTATGCCACCTGCTGCGGATCTGCTCTGCATCGAACCAATGTATTTCCTTCCTCTGTAATTGTTATGCAATAGGGACAGCCGAACCGGAATTACAGGCTTAGGTATTCCGTATCTGCTTCCCTGCTTTGCTTCGAATTTCCCTTGGCCATCCAGCATAACACAAAGCCTAAATCTCCGATCCAAATCATATCTACGCCTGTGTAGATTCAATCCGTACACAAAGTCAATAACCCAAATCTAAATTTATCTCTTTGATTCAAGTTTAAGGGACAAAATTTGATAAGTCATTGCCGGTCCAAATTCTTGTCTCTCCAGTCACTTACTTTGATTATATATGTGTTAAGTTACATTTCTATGCTTATATTATGATTTGGGTTCAACTTACATTTGAAAATACACGCGGTTACATTAGAATTTGCATAAAGTTACATATTTTACACCACGAGTTACATGTCAACTTTTCTTAGCAAGTTACATCATGTTTATATTTGATTTACATTTTTCAAAACGCGAGTTACATCACAATATAATGCGAGTTACACAACCCAATAAGTCTGCTATTCAAATAAAAATTATTTTTTATACAAAAATCATTTTTATAGCCCTGATATTAAAAACAAAACATAAACACTATTTATGTAAAATAATTGGGCAATTAGGCTCCTTTTTCCCATTGAAATCAATATTTTATTTTTTATGTTATATATTGGACAAGTTACACTTCAACTAGACTTGAGTTATATTCATCAATAACGTGAGTGACATTTCTTTACACGTGAGTTACATCATTATGTTACTGGAGCAAAATAAAAATAAAAAAAGTACTGTACACGCGTGTACTGTTCACACGTTTTTTTAAATTCGATCAAAACTACGTCGTTTTGGAGGTGGAGCATGGTGCTCACCGTGGGATGATCCCACGGTATAGGAACTGTTTGTAACATCTTGTAAATAATTTCCATTTATATCTCATTCAAGATAATGAGTTGCAAGAATTAGGATGTTTCTACTTGGACTGTAATTTGCTGGTCTGATCTGATCTGGTTTGAACTGGTCTGATTTTTTTTGTACTTTTATAACTACCCAAGTCTGATCTGGTTTGGTCTAGTCTGAGACAAATTACAGTTAAAGTTAAGGTGAATTCTATGGTACCCATAAGATACCATACCTTTGTACACATGGACCAATGAGAATGTAGCAGTTGAATTATTTAAATCTAAATTAAAATTCATAAAGTGATGTGGTCCAATCAAATGAATGGTAGGTACGATATCCCAGTTTTTTTAGAAAGGTACTGGAATTGTCACTTAAAGTTAAAACAATCTTAGACCATTAGTGATGTTGATTTTCCCGAAAATCTAGAGATCAGTACGAGTATTTTTTACTACTATGTATACTAAATTGAGCTTCACTACAAGTCTACAAGGGTATAATTTTCACTTTGAAAATATTAGAAGACTTGTTTGCATAATATAATTGAGCAATTCAAATGTAAACAAATAATAAAATGGTGATCTCAACCAATCAAATGCATCACCATGAACATTATGAGTACCGTAACATTCACTAGCAAGGTAAATGTCATTATACACCATTAGGGCTGGACTCGGTTTGGGCCGGGCCCAGTTCGGGCCTTGAACCGGCCGGGCCTCGGTTCACCAAAAGGAGGGCCCGGGCCCGAACCGGCGGTGACCGGTTCCGGGCCGGTTCACCCGCCCCATTTTTTTTTTCTTTTTTTGATTTTTTGGCTTCTCTTATTTAACCCCCTACCCTCCCCCTCAACCCCAAACCACCCCAAACCACCTCAAATGGCCCAAAATACCTAATTCAACCCAAAAATTTAAAAAATTTTAAAAAAAAGTAAAAAAAAAAATATTCCGGCCCGGACCGGGCCCGAACCGGCCGGGCCGGTTCACCAAATGGAGGGCCCGGGCCCGGAACCGGTATCCACCGGGCCGGTTCGACCCGAACCGCTGGTGAACCGGGCCACCGGGCAGGGCCGGTTCACACAGTAACCGGGCCGGTTCCTGTTCGGGCCGCCCGGCCCGAGTCCAGCACTATACACCATCTCAATGGGAAAATGAAAAAATGATAGCCACATAGATTTATATTATTGAATGTTAACCTTCAAAAAAGAAGAATTCTATTTATCTCTTGTAGTTTATGTATTCAATTGAGGTTTTTTTAGAACTAATGAGGTTTTCTCTAGAAATAATGAGGTTTCCACTTAAATTTTAATAAACAAGTGGGATGCAAAATTAAGTCTCTGTGTTTCAATAAAAAAAATTGGAGGACTTCATAATAAATAATAATACACCTTCAAGTAGGAAGTACTACTTAGGGAGTGTTTGCAACTGCTTAAAAAAAAGCACTTCTCAGCTTTTGGCTTTAAAAAGCACTTATTTACCAAACACTACCAATTTTTACTTTTTCTCGGCTTGCGTGTGAAAAGTGCTTTTCCCTTTTCTATTACACAAAAAGCACTTATTTTACCAAACACTACCAACTTTTACTTTTCAAAATCACTTTTTTCTCAAACACTATCAACTTTTACTACCAATCACTTTTTCATTACTTCTCCAAAAGTGCTTTTTTTTAAGCAGAAGCAGTTGCAAACACTCCCTTAGTACTTTCTACTTGCACCTTATTACGTAGTACTATACTACCGAGTAATACATTATGAATCATATAATTACATAACTCTATTTTTTTAATAACCATAGTACGATACTACATTTTCATCTACCACTTTTAGAAGGACAAAATTAGTACTTAATCATGCAATGTTTGTCAAATAATTTCGAGAAGACTTTGCGACACAGGGATCGTACTAAAATTTTGAAAAAAGTCTTTTATCATGATTGGTCTTTTATTCGTACTAAATTTATTAATATATTGGAAAAATTGACAAGAATAATCTCACTTTTCACTAGTATTATCATAATAATCATACATTTACATAATTCCAAAATAATCCAACTTTTGCACCTCATCTTCTTTCATTGAACCGTAACCCGTTGATGACCTACTATACCAGGTTTTTTACCCTTTCTTTGAAAATGATATAAATAATCTCACCTTTCACTTTTTATTACTCCCTCCGTCCCAGAAAATTCTTCCTAGTTTGACTTGGATCGGAGTTTAAGAAAGTGGGAATAAAGTGGAAATGTGTGGTTGTAGTTGTGTAAGAAAAAGGTGAAATGAATGTGAGGCACACAAATAATCAAAAAGGTGAAGTTGGAAGAATTTTCTGGGACGTCCCAAAAAGGAAAGTGGAAGAATTTTCTGGGACGGAGGGAGTATATCTTTATAAATGTGAGATTATTTATATAATATTTTCAAAGAAAGGGTAAAAAACCTTATGTAGTAGATCATCAACAGGTTTACGATAAAAAAAACAGGTTAGGGTCCAATGAAAGAAAATGGGGTGTAAATGTGGGATTATTCTGGGATTACGTAAAGGTGGGATTATTACGAGAGGTGAGATTATTCTTCTCAATTTTTCCTAATATAATTGTTCCTTTATTCATTTTACCTTATTCGTAATTTAATAAACCAATATCAAAGACATAATTCTACCCTTCTTGATTATTTAGAAGAATTCTATCCTTCTTGAATCTTGATGATCCCACAAATTGTATTACTACCAGAA